TTATATAATAGTTTTCATATTATATTTTATTCATTTTAATCTATATCATTTTTTATATCATAACTTTTATTTTATCACACCAGGTGAATTATCTTTAGCTTACATTAATTATATCTAGAGTTTACAACTAAGGCTCGAATTTACAATTCAATTATAAGTGAATTGGTATTTGATTGATCAATGCTCAACAACTTGACCCAATTATGGTCAACCTTGGGTCAAAGAGGGTCCACGGTTCTTTAGCCTCTAACATTTAGGTGTGTAAAAGCTAAAAGTTAAAAAATCAAAACATGATTGATCGTTCATGAGTCTAAAATGCACCAATATTTGTTCATCTTTATTAAATTCTCCTTTCAAAATATAAGTTAAAAATTTATTAGAGATAAACAAATATCTTGCATGGAAAATTTATAATCAAAGAATTGTGCACAAAAAAGAGGGGGGAGAAATCAAGTTAACTTGGAAGAAGGAATTGACATTTTTACTATGACAAAAAAAAATTCAAACTTCTTGCATTTTGAAATCATAAATAGAAAAGTTTTATGTGCTCTTCATTGCAATAATAATAATAATAAATGCTCTTTATTGTTATTTGCGGAAGGAACTGGTTTCGCTACTGGACGACAATGTTTCCTTCCTTTAAATAATTATTTTGCATTTTCTATGTATCTATATAGATATCTCTTTGTATTTTCAAAGTTGAAATGTTATATATTACAGAAATGCTATTATAAATAATCATTGCGCTTTGAGGTTTTATTGCAAGAGCACATTGTAATTGTATTATTCAAAAGAAAAGGACTTTTCACATCGAGTGTAACCATAATTAATATAAAATATTACTTTTAACATCAATTATAACGATAACTAAAATAAAAATAATTTTTTAATATAAAACATAATTATATTTCTTAAGTAAGATTGATATTATTTTTTAATCAAAATTAAAATTTTATGTTAAATATAAATATATGTTATTATGATAAAATTTTAATTTTGACCAAACAACAACACTGATCACAATTAAAAAACCACAGCTAAATTTATTTCCATCTTTTTATATCAATTTTAGCGGCAAGTTACTTTGTGAATTAAGTTTTTTTCAAAATTGATATAAAAGGATGACTTTTAACATCGATTTTAAAATCAATTTGAAAAGCAAACATTTTTATATCACTTAATTCCTCATTTCCTTCAAATCGATAAAATAAATAAATAATTGATGTGAAAAATTCCTTTAACACTAGTGGCCTATCCATGTAAACTAATGATGTAACTTTTGTTTATTAATAATAAATAAATCACTGAACTTTCTTGTAAGGACAAGAACAAAATTGTTTTTTTTTTTTTTTGGTGTGTTACCAACTACAAGAACAATTGATTTAATGATATTTGAAGTTGTTGTGGTCTAGAAGTCGTAATAGAATTTACTCACCTCTTGAGGATGGGTGGCTTTCACGGTCTTCAAAGGACATAGGACATATATAGCCTTTCAAAGGACCTAAAACCTAATAACACTATGGAAGCTCTTAAGAAATACGACCTAAACTAAATGTCCAACCTTTTCCAAATTTTTTTTTTATGTTGATCTTCTTTCTGTCTATTTTTCGTTGTCTGTTCTAATTTCAAATCCACTGCCAAAATCTGAACCCAATGTTTTTGTTTGTGGCAATTAGACACTCTTCTAGAATGTATTCGAAAGATGGAATTGAAATTATATAGTTTCGAATTTTAATTGTAATTTAGACTTTTAGATTAAAGTTGATATAAATTTATATATGTTATGTTTGAGTTATGAAAATGTTTAGGCGTAAAAATCTAATTAATTAGTCTAGTTAATTTCAATTTTATTATTTATATAGGATAAAACAAAATTGCTAGCTTGCCTGAAAAAAAAACAGATAATTCTTTTTAAAATATTAGTTACATACGCGTCTTGTTGAAAATTTATTTAATATACTAATAATTAATAACTTGAATACTTTTTACTATTACAAATAACAATTTAATTGGACTATATAATCATTTTTAACTCATTTTATGAATGATCATGAGTCAAGTTAAGTTACCATTTAGCGAGTGGATCGAGCAACTTAAAGTTATTTTTGCATTAATAACTAATAGCTTGAGTTAAAATTTTATGAATGTATGTGTGCTGTAAAAATTTAAAAATTAAATTAATCTGAATTGGTGGTAAATTAAATTTAACTGAGTAAAAATTGAACTATTTTTTATAAAAAATTTGAATAAAACTATTTTTTAAAAAAATTGAACTTAACTATTTAAAAATTAAAATGAACTATTATAAACTGAAGTATAAAAATTAAATTATTTTTTTTAAGAAAGATAAAAATAAGAGTAGACCAGGCTTTGAAAAAAAAAAAGTGGTCAAAAAAGAATCGAGCAAATTTTATTGTGAATATACAGTTAGTCAGATTAGGCTAAACCATTGATTTTCAGACTTAAAACTTAAGATTCGTTATTTTTTTTCATTTGTAAATTTTTTAAATTAAATATAAAATAAATAACATAGATCAATTTGAACTCTCTCTGATAAAGAAACCAAAATAATTCAATTTCGAACACCAATTCGAACTTGTAATTCAATTCAATTTATTTAAACTAATTACCAATTTAATGCAGGAATAAACAACATAACTGTTTGGCTGGATCTGGCAAAGTTTGAAATTAATTGACATAAACTAAATTTTTTTTTCTTTTATCTCACCTAATCCCATTTTTTAATCTTGTTACCTTGCTTTTTTATTGAAAACGAAAGGATGAAAAGAAAACTAAGTTAGGAATAAAAAAAACAGTAGGAAGGAAGACATTAATACGGCTCTCACGTTAAAAAGTATTTTAGACTTTTATCTATTTTTGGATGAAAAATAGAAAAGATAAACAAATTAATGAAGTTCTTGTATTAGTCAAAAGACAAAAATATTTTTATTTAAATTATTTTTTCATTTTTACAAATAATTTTTTTTCCTTTTTGCTCCTACTTTTATACAATTGAATAAAATAAAATAAAAAATATTCCTTTTTATTTTCCCCTTTATTAAATAACCACTAAAAATATAACACATTCTATTTATTTTCTTTCACTTTCCTTTTTTTAAACAAAATATAGAACACGGTTTGGATTGGAATTCATACAAGACTACTTACATTCATGCTCATCTCTCTGTCTATACATTTTACATGTGGAAGTGATGGTTTTTATAATGCTAAATAAGAATTAGAAATAAATTATTAATTATTTTATAATTCTTAATATTTTATTTTAAATCGACTATCAAACATAAGACTTAAAATTAGATAATAAATTCAATTCCAATTCAAAAGTATAAATTCATGTTGAATTCTAATCACAATCCGACAGTTCTTGTTTCATAATTTCTGGGAATTACTGAGCCAAAATTATATACTCAATGATTTCGAATATATAATTCTGGCTCAATTACTAAAAAAAATACTCATGTAGTTTCCTGAATCTAGAAAAAAAAAAAAAAAAAAAAAAAAAAAAAAAAAAAACCTGTTTTTCAAATAACCGACACTCCGACATGTATTAAATGTAGTGTACCCTTTTGTGTGGATCATAAATCTTCCACGAAAAATGAATACAGGGTAACCTTTTTAATTGGGTCAAAATGAATACATATTTATTTGAAGTTATGAACAATTGAGAAATGAGAATGAGCAGTGCAAGCAATGGACCAACCTAGCTATGCTCTGCAGAGTGCATTCAACTTCTTTCACTAAACACTGACTTTTGGCTCTTGAAACCGGAATCGGATTGTGTTGTCATATTAATTTTAAAAATAAAAATGTTAAACAAATATATGAAAGTGTAATTATATAATTATATTCCAAAATTTTAAAAAAAAATTGTGAGTTAATTATAATAAATACCTCCTCTGTTATATAATAAATGTCATGCAAGAACAAAATATAAATTTAGAAATAAGTATTATTTCTGTTTTTTTTGTAAGACAGTTATTTAAATGATTAATAAAATTAATTAATTTGACTAGTAACATTAAATATGTTTATAAATTTAGATTTACTTTCATCAAAACTACTATTAACATTAATATGACTCTTACTTCTTTTTTTTTTATATAAATTAAAATATATCATAGTCAAAATTTAAGGATTAATCTTTCAAAATACTGAAATTTATTTAAAGGGTTAAACTTTTTCCACAAATGATTTTTCACACATATATGATTCTTGCTTTACTAACTACTTACTGAATTAAAATAAATAAATAAATAACTCTTAAGGATATTTTTTTCAAAAAAAAATTAATACAATATACATTTTAAATTGGTTCTTAGACAAAAATCAAACTTAGGATATTATAAAAATGGAGAGGAAGTATCATTTTTTTAATATAATACTAGTCAATTTTTTCTATTTATACCTTTCATAACATTATTAAAAAACAATATTGTAGTGTTGTATCATTTGCCGTGAAGAAAACCAATAAAGTCAATAAGCATAAAATGAAACTTATTATGAAATAAATAAGAGACTCACCTGATATTGATGTTAAGGAAATAAAAATATATGTATATCAATGTAAGCTTTTACTCACCTTAAATTAAAAATAAACATTTTTCACGTTCTTATATTTCGGACATTTTCCCGGTTTAAAATAATTAAATATTGCATCATGGCGCTACCTACAGTCAAAAGATTAAAGATTATGGTAACTCCAAAGTCCAAAGTCACGATACATGACAAATATAATTTGTTGAGTTACAGTGACACGTTAAAAAATAAAATCACAATTTATTTTAACTATTTTAAAAATTTGTATATCGTGCTTAAATTTGCTCAATATTATAAATAACTTTAAAAAAGCTATTGCAAATTAATTTGAATATAAATTAATAAACACTAGCCTTTTAAAAAATATTTAATATTTAATGTCTTAAATTTTTTAACATGTGCTATTTAATAAAAGCTAACATACTGTTGTATTCTCAAGTAGATTCTTCCCTTCTAAGGCTTCCCCCATCTTTATAATTTGAATCAAAAAAGAATTACTATCCAAATAAAACTAGAAAAGAATTACATGACGGCAGAAAACATAAACTCCACTAAGCTATTAGATACAACACAGTTACAGCAGCTACATTAAATTTAAGGAAGCACATAACAGAACAACATTCAAGTCCAGTTATGAAATAAATATCCTAATTGTAGATAATTTGCCAGCAGCTCATGTACCTACTAATGTACCATCTGAAGCAATATACCTGAAATTGTCAGCAAGACTAATAAACTTGACCTACTAAACAAATTAGTAATCATAAAATTGCCAAGATTATAGTCACCAATCAGCATCAAAGCCATTGTTAAGGTCGAGCTCTCTTGTTGCTGCAAGTTGGACATTTGTACTGCTTGATATGTTCAGCACGTGCAGGGGTAATCTTCACACACTTTCCATGGAACCATTTCTCACAGATGTCACAGCAAATCCAGAACTCATCAGCAGCATAGCTCTCTCCACATGCCCCACACAGAGTCTCTCCATGTTCCTCTTCATCTTCCTCTTCCAAACCCAAACCCAAACCCACACCTTCATCATCCTCATCCTTTGATTGCATTGCTTTTGAATACTTGGATTCAGAACTTCGCTGCATTTATCAACCCAAAACAGATAACAAAAATATAGTTAAATACCAATCATAAACCAGATCACATCACAGATACTCAGATAGTAAACTTTTTTGGTTCCCAAAATACTTTCAATTAGTGATACCACACTTCTTAATAAGGGACAATCACTCAAATCGTTCATCCCCATTTCCCTGAATTAAGAACCCTCGCTAAAACAGTGTAAATCAATAAAAACCAGTATAAAACAATGTTATTATAAGCCTATCTTGAGAAAATGATTTCTTTACTTAATTAGCTTTCAAAGAAAACTTTTGGAAAAAAATAAAAAGATTATTTCTAACAAATAATCAGTATCCGAGGATGCACAAAATTTAGAAATTGGTTTCATTGCTAAAAGTTATATGATACTTAGCAAGCTACTGCAAGTAAGAGCAGATAGATTTTCAAACTTTCATAACCTTGGAGTTTGATTTTGATTTGTTACTGCTATGATTTGAAACTGATGACTTTTCCTTTCCTTGTTTCTTGGCCATCCCTGTAACAACCTCAAATATAGTCGGAAGATCATTTATCATATTAAATAGTCGCTTCCTGCATGAAGATGAGAACATATATATTACTGAAAGATGACAACTTCTCAAATTAATTACAACTTACAGAGGTAAAACCATCAATAAGTCAAAAAAGAATGCAAACTGAAGCACTGTAGACAAACTAAGGGCGAATAAAAGAAACCATCTGCATCTTGTAAACTGTATTAGAACTGCTAATGCATTGAATTCAAGCCAGGTATAGAAAATTTGCTCTTGTTCTCAAAAGCAAAAGATTCTCTAATTAATACATATTTAATTGTGAGCTGTACAACATTAGAAGAGTATCTTGGTAATGAGAAAATGTTTTCATACTAAAAGGGAAGAAACTAGCGGGAAACAAAAAACAATTCAATAGACTGAATGGAAGCTTATAACATTCTCTCAAGTTCTAACCTCATAACTAGTACTTTAAAGTTTTAACCTATCGTATTCATATGTTACAACCTAGCAAGTATTTACAAGTGTAACAGAAAAAATTAAGCCTCCTACATCTCTTATGGAAACCCGCACATTTATGATATCCAAATCCTTTCTCCACTATCCTTCCATTTGATTTTTGTTAAATCAGATAGTGAAACCAACAGGACTAACATGTAATCATTCTCTCATGATTGAATACCCAGATAAATTCCATATTACCATCCAGATATTCCATTAAATCAAACATTATGATTGCAGAATAGATCAAGGGAAAGAGGACTACGATTCAAAGGATTGAAGGAAAGAGGACTTAAACAGTTACAGTTATGCCAGAGATCCCAAGTAATCGTGGTAACCCTATTATAATGCCAAACCACAGATCATAAGCCATACAATATGAAAATTTTATAGATTATTAGATATTTGCATGCAGCTCTACAGTTTTATCTCTCACCAAAACCTTAATATCCAGCTTTTCTAGTCATGGTATAAACTCCGGTTCGGTTTTCAACTAAAATTGGAACTGAAATTGAACAGACCCCCTGTTCATTTATTCTTCATTTCAGAATGAGCATGCTGACTTTGCTCGGCCTTGCTCCGAGCAATATTCTTTTGTCTACAACGTCAAAACTCAGAAACACTATGTACTAAGAATTATAGTTTAATTTTAATAACATCTTCAAAATATTCAATTGAGTTGCATAAATAACAAGACAAAAAATAGCTTGTGCATAGCATGGGTTCCACACTAGTAACATTACAAGAGGTAATTATGGACATTCAGTAGCCCATACTAGGGAATCAGATACATCGTACTACTTTTATCTTTATTGCTTATGCAAGCACCTCTTTTATGTCTAATCATTTATTTCTTATACCCTAATATTCCATATACTAATTACACATGCGAACAAAATACCGAGATAAATTTGTTCCTAGAATATGTTCAAAGTTCAAACAATCCTATTCTAGTAAGTTTAAAATTTAGAAATAACATGAAAACAAAGTCCAATATCCAAACAGTTGGACCAAGCCAAAGCTACCTCAGATCAAAATACATGCACCATTTAAGAGAAAAATATATATATATTATCAGCTAAATCCATAGATTTATTGGAGAGAGAAAATATGTACCTATCAGCCTTATCAAATCCAAACCTAGCACCAAAATAAAAAGCCACAGCAAGTAACCAAGCATCACTGTGTACAGCAACCAAAGATAGCCAGTCCTTTTCTTGCATCCCATCTCTGGCAAAGTTAATGCCCAATGCTGGCTCCGGTAGCTCTGGGGGCACCTCCTCAGCAGGCAGATTGACTTCCCACAGCTCATTAGGAAATCCATAAAGGCAAAGATTTTCCTTCTCTGCATGACAAAAGCTCAAGTAAATCGACTAAAATATCTCAAGTTTAAACCCAAATTTTCAACAATACAAAGAAAATCAAATGCTATAAGAACAAAACTATAATCAGCAATTGAATTATGGCAATATGGTAGCATGGTGAAACATTTTATGTCCATCACTCAGGAGATAAAATATCCAAAAAGAAAATATTTTTATTAGGCACTATATTGGACACGAAAATGAAATCTCACAAAAGATGTCTGAAATTTGTTTCAAGGAAAACAGATAACCTCAATATAGATCCAGTATCATAAGTGAAAACTGAAAATGTCCCCATGGAAAATTAATTATGAAGATGCAAATAACAATTTGAAGTTTCAAATAGAGAAAGAATTTGCCATGGTAACATACTACTATTGCAATCCATACTACATTAAAACCATAGTTGTCAACCAGGATATCAGAGCAGAGCAGTCAAAGCACAAAAGTGGGATAGCGGATAGCAAGATGACCACTATTCTAATATAATATATATGTGTTAAATAATTATAATTAATAATTAATAATATATATAAGCTCAAAGACAGAAAAAATACTCAAAATTCATGCATTATTCATTTGGTCAGGCCGTGATTTTGCTGACCAACGAAACCACACAAGTAAAAAATATGAAAAGAAGGAAAGAAAAGGAAAAAAAAAAAACTACAAACAGGAAAAGGGAGACTCACTGGAGTCGCAGCAAGAGGACCTGTCACATAAGAAGTTAGGGCATGCACCCACTAGGTCGACACACAACAAGAGAAAAAGGAAAAAAGATTTGAAAGTGGAAAGACAAAAATACCCTCATTAAGGCTTTGTTTGGATTTGAAGATAGAAAAGGGGGAGTGGAAAAGGAGAGATTTGAAGGGAAAGTGAGTAGAAAGTGAGGTTGTTTGGATTAAGGGAAAGTGAGTGGAAAGTGTAGAGAAAGTTTGTGAAAGTTTGTGAATGAAATGATTGATGTGATAGATAAAAATAAATTTTTTAATTGATAATTGTGAAAGATTACTATTTTGCCCTTAGGCTAAAAAAAGTTTATAATTATTATAATTAAAAGATAAATATATAGATTTTAACTAAAAAAATTATAAAAAATTAATTTAAAAATAAATTAATTTAAATATTTGGTTTAAATTTAATGATAGATAAAAAATAAAAATTTAAGAGATGAATATATAATTTACACTTTTACCCTTGAATTAAAAATGA